TATTTTATAATTCAGTTTTCTTTTGAATATTTCGTGTGATTTTGAGTTTTGGTATTTACCACCTTTTACCTTTTAAATTTCGAAAATTATTGTGTATAAATTATTTATATTCTATATTTTTGACTTTTCACTTACCGAAAGTGAGGTGCATAGTTTACCGCTTTTGGTTTTTGTTTACTTTGACTAATCATGGTGAAGCTAAGGAGAAGAAAGTCGCAGATATCTAATCTTGATGACGAAGTTACACTGGTAGATGAGGTCACTGGATTAAGGGGGATGCTTAAAGAATTGACGGTTCAGATGGCATGCCTTGATAAGCAGGAGAAAGATCGGTAGGAGATGAAAGCAATGTTGGAGAGGTTAACGTTAAATTCAAATAATGCCGAACCTAATACTGGTTCCCCAGAGCCACAGGATAACACGGCACTCACTCCTGCAAACATATCACCCTCAACAAGAGCTATTCCTAAGAGTTTTTTCCACCAGCATTAACTCCAGTAACTCCCCATTTGCCTCAGATTCGTATTGTGCAGGAGAACGCTGGACCTTCATCCAGTAGACCACAGGTGACACCTCGTACTCTTTTAATACCTCCTGTTATTCAGCCATGTGCAGCCGCACAACCAACCTATGTTGTCGTCTCTGATCATGATGGTATCACGAAGTGAAGAGCCGAAGCCCCTGCCTCTCAGCCACTTCGGAGAAATCAAGAAGTGAATAGCAGATAGAGAATATTATAGAACCTGATCATGATGGTATCACGAAGTGAAGAGCCGAAGCCCCTGCCTCTCAGCCACTTCGGAGAAATCAAGAAGTGAATAGCAGATAGAGAATATTATAGAACCAGCTACTAAAGAGACCTGAGACGTGATCATAAACTCACCAATATTTACACATGGGTTGAGTTTCGCCAAAAGATATAGCAGCATTTCAGAGGGACATGCTCTGATTCTGACTTCTTTATCCTCTTGTATGAAGTATGGATGATGGCAGGTCAGGCATCCTTAGACTTTCATTCCACCCTTGAGGGTATGGTTTGTCAGGGTTATCGGAACCACCGAGCAGTTGGTAACCCTGAAGAATTGATATGGAGGGTCTTCCTCCAAGGATTGCCTGGTTGGCTGAAGGAACTGCTAACTTTAAAGGATGATGAGTCTGTGCAGTTACTAGTTGACTGTACAAAGACTGAAATGCTCAAGTTAGGAATGATGATGAGCCACCTAAGCTTCTTGCAGCACCTCGTAAAGGAAAAATTTCCGGTCTCACGAGCACGACCTCGTCCAATCCGTCAGAGAGATCAGCATTTTGTTCTAGTTTGCTGGGGATGTCGGTGAAGACATTTTTGCAGAGACTGTCCCTTTCAGACCATCCAGAGTGGAGAGGCTTCAGCCATGTCTGGATATTGGAGGAGCAATAACAGGGCCGCATGAATATACCCCTAGACGGACGACCGTTGATCGAGGCTGCGGTCCAGACAGTTACCTCGAATAATAACACTGCTGCACAAGGACCTTCTGGAAGGCTCCTTGTGAAGTTGAATATTCCTGGAGTGGCAATGACACCTTTCGTAGACACATGGTCTGAGGTCACTTTTTAAGATGGAACACACTAGGTCAATAATCCCAGAGAGAATCCATCACTATTGTGGACTTCGGGGAGTGTCAGGTCGACTCTTTGAAGTCACCTCTGAGTGGGATGTAGGGATTTCCTTGGGCAGTGCCATCACAGGGTGTGTGTGGTGGAAGGTGTAGACATTCCAGGGGAAATCCTGATTGGTATGGATTTTCAGAAGAGTTTTTGCTACAGGTTAGGGAATAACCCTGTTTCTCAAAAAGCTTATGTGAGACCTGGAGGAGTGACTCTCCCTGTTACTTACACTAATGGGTGTACCCTAAGCATTATTGGCACATCGGAGTTTGTCCTACCTTAACATGGCCAAAAGCTTGCCATCAGAAGGACTACACAGTGCCCTTCTACGAGTGGACGATACATTTTTTTTACCAATGAGGTCATTATTGAAGGAGGTACAGATAGGTTAATTGTCACTCGAACCTTGGTTATACCCAAAGATGGAATAGCTTCTGTGTGGGTGGTTAATGGAGGAACACGTCCAGTATGCCTGCATACTGGACGTACATAGCAAGTGGGTAACTGTGCACAGTGATGGAGTTGGAGCACCCATCTCAAGAGCCTAGTCTTGTGGGACAAGCTCAAGAGAAAAAGGTGGCAGTGGATCCTGAATTTAGCATTGAGAAGAAGGATGACTTGGGTTTTGCTGGATTTTATCTATAATGATGATGTCATTGTGTTCCCGGAAACGACTCTATATAACCCCTCGGTGTCAATGCTGACAGCAGCAGATGATGAGGATAAGGCTGGATCAGATTTAAGTCATTTGCCTGATAAACATCAGGATATACTTTCTTTGTTAGCAAATTATCCAAGGTTGTTTAGTGGAGAAGTTAGTTGATGAACTGAGGGACACTGCAGTTTTCTCCTTGCTTGATAGTCGTAGTGCCTATTGGAGCATCCCATTGGCACCTGAGGATAGGCCTAAGACCGCCTTCAGTGACGGTTGCCGCCTCTTCCAATGGCGCTGTATGCCTTATGGGCTTTCCACCACTCCAACTACCTTTCAAAGAACCATGAATGCGGTACTTAGTCCAGTCTTGGGTAGATATACTTAAGCTAACTGGATGATATTGTTATCTATAGCACAACATTTGAAGAACACCAAGTGTGAATTAATTGTTCTGAATTTCTCAGATTCCTGGGTTTCCGTATCACCCCAGATGGGATCTTGCCAGATCCAGATAAAGTTAAAGCCAACTTGGAGATGCTACCTCTAAAAACAGATTTTTCCGGAAACGTGTCCCCAGCTATGCTAACCTGGCTTGTCCATTAACACAGCTCATCAAGTAGGAGCAGATATTCATGTGGACTAAAGAATGTCATGAGGCATTCCAAGTACACAAGCATGCTATAATTAATAAACATGTATTGCAAAAGCCTAACTTTGACTTACAATTTGACATCCATTCTGATAAACCACTTAATTAATTATGACCTGCCCGTAATCTCGAACCCTAATTATTCATGAGTGCCTAAACGGGAAGCATGAGATTCACTATCACTTCCTCCTCAAGAACTCCTCCAGCCTATATATATATATATATATATATATATATATATATATATAGTATAAGTTATTGTGTGTGTGTGGTGTGTGTGTGGTGTGTGTGGTGTGTGTGTGTGTGTTGTGTGTGTGTGTGTGTGTGACATGTTGTGTGTACATGTGTGTGTGTGTGTGTGTGTGTGTGTGTGTTGTGTGTGTGGGTGTGTGGTGTGTTGTGTTGTGTGGTTGTATGTGGTTGTATATAATATATATAATATATATATATATATATATATTATATATATAATATTATATATATATATGTATATAATATTGTAATATATATATATAATATATATATATATATATATATATACATACATACATATATGTATATTAGTATATATATATATATATATATATATAGATATATATATATACATATATATTGTGTGTGAGTGTATATATTGTATATATGTATATATATATATTATATATATTATTATGTATATATGTAATTATAATTAATATGTATATATGTATTATATATATATGTATTATATATATGTATATATATGTATATATATATATAAATATAATATATAT